CCCCCCTCTTGGACACCCCCCTCTTCAAGGGCGCCCTCGAGGGCGCGAAGTTATTCGCGCTTCGCGCTTCGCGGTTCGGCTCCGATTCCTCATCCTACTCTTCTCCCCTGGGAGGCGGCGCGAGAGCGCGAAGTTATTCGCACTTCGCGCTTCGCGCAGCGCGAAGCGCGAAGCTGGGAGCCCTTGCCTCTTGGCCGCTCCCGAAACTTGGCTCTTGCCCCGCGAGGTGCAGCTCTGCGAGTGGCGGCAGTTCGTGGACTTCCGCCAGAGGGCCGGCGCGCTGGGCCGGAGCCCCGGCCGCGGCGTCCCCTCCGCGCCGCCCGCGGCGCGGGCACGCGGCCGGCACCGCGGGGCCTGAACGCGATCGGGAGCCTCGAGACGGGGGTCAGCGCAAACGGGGGTCAGCCAGGGCGCCAGATCCTGCAGGATCCTGCAAAGACCCCCTCTGGCTGACCCGGGTTAGCGAGCCGCTCGTGGCCGCGAGGCGGCCGCGCGTATTGGCTGACCCGGATTTGCGAAGACCTGCGTTGCAGTTTTTTTTTCCTGCATTGCAGTTGTTGGTTTCCCGCTGACCCGGGTCTGTATTGACCCGGGTCAGAAGATCCCCGACGCGAGAGCGGCCTCTCGCAGGGATCGGGTCGGACAAAACCGTGGCATATTCGTTTTTTTGTTTGTTTGTTTTTATGTGTGTTACTCATCTTCGTAGTATTATCGTTCGGACTAGTAGTCTTGTCATTCGTAGCATGAGTACTCGTATTGTTAGCATTAGTAATCTGAGTAGTAGTGTTAGCATTCTTATCAGGAGCGTCAGTCTTACTATTGATAGTATTGTTTTTCCTCAGTTTCCTCATGTGTTCTATGAGTATTTGTATTCGTCGTAATACGATTGTTTTTTGTAGTAGGAGTGTTATTGTTCTTGTTACTCGTCGTATTAATTTTCGTGTCATTAGTTCTTCTTACTAGTACTATTTCAAAATATTATCATTCGTTGTATTTATCTTAGGTTTCGTAGCATTCGTATTCGCACTAGTACTATTGTTGGTTTTATTCGTGCTCTTATTAGTATAATGAGTATTTGCTGATAAAATCGACTAAGCCGCGGACAGGCCCTGTGCCATGGCCCGGCGACGCATGGCCGCCCCGGGGGCCCCACACGCCGCCACGTGGCCTCCAAAGTGGCCCACGAGGGCGCCTGGACTGGTCACTGATGCTACATTCGGGGCGCTGAAAGAAGGAACCCTTTTCGTTGGGGAGAGGCTCGGTGTTCCTTGATTGCTTCACAGCTTGCATCAGGTTTTCCTTATGTTTTCGATGGGAAATCGAAGTTTAACTTTAGGGAAAAAAGGGACGTCGTTCCTTATTTAGGGTTCCTTGGGTCAACGCCCCGACTGTACGAAAGTCTACCGGACCAGCCCACCACACCCGGAGAGCGCCGCAGCTGTTTCTTCCACGGCCTCCGAAGGCTTCCAGGCCGCGTCTGGAGGGCCCCGGGCGCTGTCCAGAGGACCCCCGGGGTCCCACGAGAGCGCCCCGAGAGGCACGAGTCGCCAGATTCCCTCCGGAACACGCATCTGTTCAGCAAGTTGGCACTTTCGCGCGTCAAGGCTTCAAGAACGGCCCAAGAGGCCCCCAAGCTCGCCCCAAGACGGTCTCAAGGCAACCCAGCAGCGCCCCAAGACTGGCCCCGAGGCGCAGAAGATTGCCCAAGAACGCCCCAAGAGAGCCCCGAGAGAGGGCCAAGATAGGGAGGGGAAGCCGGTTTCAGATTCCAAGATTTCCGCCCCAAGAGATCCCCCCGAGACCGCCAGCAGGACCCCAAGAGGCCCCAAGAGATGCTCAAGAGGGCCAACAGAGGCCCCCCGAAGCGCCCCCCATATGGTCCAGAAGCGAGCCCCAAGAGGCAAAACTCGTCACACTCCTTCAGGACAGCGTGCATTTTCAGCGTGTCGGACTTCGCGTGTGCCACAGCGTTCGCGGCGGCCCACGAGGCTTCCAGGCTCGCCCGAGAGGCCCCGACGACGGCCCCACGGCGGCCCAAGAGCGCCCCAGAAGAGGCCCGGAGGCGCCCAGGGTGGCACGAGAGCGGTCTGGGAGAGCGCCGAGGGAGGGCCGAGACGGGGAGCTCGACTCCAGGTCCCGAGATCTCCGCTCCGAGAGGACCCCCCGGGACCGCCAGCGGGCTCCCAAGGGAGCCCCAGGAGCGCCAGCAGAGGCCCCCAGATGGTCCGCCCATGAGGTCCAGGAGACGGCCCGAGGATACACAAGCAGATCCATTCCTTTCTGGGAGCATTGTGGGAGCTGTATTGGACAAGCAGGACGAAGAAGACAATTCGATGTCGTAGCGATGCGCTGGTGAGGCTTATGGTACCAATGTGCGGAGAGAGCCAGTGAGAGAGAGAGAGGAGAGATGACGATACATAACATATGTGTAGATATACATATATGTAGATGGAGAGATAGAGCAAAGCAAACGGCACAAAACGAGGGATGGAGAAAGAGGAAGGGGAATGACGAGAAAGAGAGAGAGAGAGAGAGAGAAAAAAAAAAGGGGTATCTATACACATATGTGTACATACATTCATATATATATAGAGAGATATAAGACAACAAGCTGAGACCTATATACAGAGAAAACAACCGAGAAAGAGAGAGAGAGAGAGAGAGAAAAAAAAAAGGAGGGAGGGAGAGGGCGGCACGCGACGGCACGAGCCCACCAACGCTCTTCGGGCAAACCCCCGCCCCCTCCCTCCGGGCCCCCCCTCCGAGGCCTCCCGGGTCTTCCCCCCCGGCCGCTCCCAACAGCTCCAGGGGGGCACAGGCCAGCGACAAGGGCGGCCCGACGAGGCTGAACGACTGGAACTTGCTCTAACCCAAGCGCGCGAAGCGCGCGTGGTTCTAGTATCTCGCTCTCTCTCTCTCTCTCTCTCTATCCCTCCCTCTATATATATATATATATATATATACATATGTATATATATATATACATATATCTATATATAGATAGATAGATCTAGATCTAGATATAGATGTAGATCAAGACGACGGGAGGTTGTGGGTGATTTGGGGCATCCGGGGGCCCTCGCCGGGCCCCGGGAACGGGGCTTAGACCACCGGGCAACGTCGTGAGAACAAGGACAATAACAAAAAACGACGCCGGATGCCTTGGAACGAGGGGACAGGAAAAGGTATCCCGGATGGCGATGGGGGGATCAGGACATAGGGGGATGAGTATCCGGTACCGTTTTGTTGGGGTACAATTTGTACCTTCTTTGCGGGTTGCAAGTACAAATTGTACCTTCTCCCCCCCGTTAACATCCTCGCACATGTCGCGGACGTTGTCAAAAGTACAATTTGTACCTTGTCTGGGTGGCGTCGGTGCAAATTGTACCTTCTCCGTGGGGCGTAGGTACAATTTGTACCTCGGTTGCGCCTCTCTCCCCCCCTGGACTTATCCCCCCATTTGCATCCCGCCAAAAAGGGGGGTACAAAATTTGCTGCCTGCAGCTGGTTTCGGCCCCGCCGCCTGGCGCGTTCCTCGGCACATCGGGCGCCTCCCTCCAGCGTTTAGATCACGGGCTACGTGAGCCGATCCGCTCCCTCCCCCTTTGCTATCCCCCCCCGTTCGTCCGACCCGTAGGGGGCATAGGGGAACAAAAAGTGGCATAAATATACAGACTCGGAGGTCCGCGCGAATTTCTCGGATCGGCACTGGGGCCCCCTGGCGGCGCCTCCGGCGCCGCGCCTGGCACGCTCCGCGCGCCAGGGAGGGGGGTCCAGCGCCGATCCGAGAAATCCGCGCGGACCTCCGACTTTTCATGGTTATGTCATTGTTAGCTTCCCCAGGGCAGGCTTTGGCGCGCGGCTTTCGGGGGGGGGCGCGGGATTGAAACGCAACCAGGGCCGAAGAGAGCCAGCGGTGTTTTCAACCTCGGGTTCCTGTTTTCAGCCCTGGGGTTTGTCAACCTCAGGTGTATTTTTAAGTCTGGAATAATCAAAAATAGTCTGGAAACTATTTGTTTTACAATTTTAGGGCATCTTTTGGTTATTGTTTGCGTATTTTTATTTTTCGTCCAGAATCCCCCTGTAGCGGACAGGCCCGACCTATGTATTTGTGTGTCCCTGGCCCAGACGCTCGGGGAGCGCCCCGACCCGTGAGTCGCCCGTCCCGTCTTCGTTTTCAATTGGCCGCGTCCCTCCTCCTCCCTCCTCCTCCTCCTCCTCCTCCTCCTCCTCCTCCTCCTCCTCCTCCTCCTCCTCCTCCTCCTCCTCCTCCTGCCTGGTGGCACGCTTCGCTCCAACGGAGCCCTCGCTGGAGCACCTCACCGCCTGGCCGCCGGCGCAAAAAGGTGCCCCTGGGCCCCTGCCGTTTATGGCCGGCCTCGGGGAGGACAGGCGCAGGCACGCGGTGTCCGCCGCCACTGCCCGCACCGCGCGCGGCGAGCACGAGCGGCGCGCCGCACGCACACATCCGAGGCCCCCCCCTCCTCGCTCTTTGGGCCGCTCCGTCGCGCAGCCCACAGGCCCCCCCCGGCGGCGGCGGGGCCCCTCCTCGGCAAGAGGAGGCTCCTCGGCAAGAGGAGGCGTCGAGGAGCAGCAAACGGCATAAGCATAAGATTTTGGCGCTCCGCGCGGGCCTATTGGATCCGCGCTGGGACCCCCCCGGCGGCGCCTCCGGCGCCGCCCCTGGCGCTACGCGCGCCAGGGATCAGGAGGGAAAGAAACACACAGACACAATTAATCGTCGACTCCCAGGAAAATATGGGAAAATATAGGAAGTGGGGGGGAAGACAGAAACCCAGAAAATATGGGAAAATATGGGGAATCTTTTTATTTGTGTGTATTTATTTGTGTGTCCTGGGGGCCCTTCAAAGAAGTCCGCGAGGAGCGCCAAAAGTTTACGTTTGCGCCGTTTTTTTCTGCTTCTTGAGGAGGCCGGAGGCGCTGCCCTACGAGGGCGCCCTGGCTGCGGCGCGCGGCGCCCTCGGGCGCGAGCTGGCCAGGATCGGGAGGCCACAAAAGCGTGTCTGCTCCAGTCGGGTCGGGCGAAAGGGGGGGATTGGGAAAGGGGGGGTTACGAAATTTGCTGCATGCAGCTGGTTTCGGCCTCACCGAGGGGCCCATTCCTCGATACATAGCCGCCTCCGGCGCCGGGAGGCGCCGGGAAAATCAGCTACGTGAGCTGATTCTCAAACCCCCCCTTTGCTATCCCCCCCTTTCGCCCGACCCGATCCAGGCACGCCACGCCCCACGTCCGCGAGCGGGATCAGGATTTGGGAGAGGAGGAGGAGGAGGCGGAGGAGGCGGAGGAGGAGGAGGAGGAGGAAGCGGAGGAGGAGAAAGCGGAGGAGGAGGAGGAGGAGGAGGAGGAGGAGGAGGAGGAGGAGGAGGAGGGGGGCGAGGAGCGCTCAGGAGAAGTTCGGGGCGCTCAGATGGCGATGCTCGGGGGGCTTTGGCCTCTGGAAGCCTCCCGAGACCTCCGGGAATCTCCAGGGACATCCAGACTTCAGATATCAAAGGAGGAAAACCACCCCGACCCCCATAATTGGCGTTTACTAAACGGCCTTGGACGTTTACTAGAAAGCCTTGCCGTGCTCGATTCCTTGTCTTCGGGTGCGTTCAGTAAACGCCTTTGCTTGTGGTTCTTCTGTTCCCTACCAGCAGCAGCGCCGATCCCACCCGACCAGCGCACTCCGCCGACCGACGCCGACCACCGACCAGCAGCACCACAAGCAGCATCGACTCCAACCGACCAACACCGCCAGACAGCAGCCGACACCCACCACACCGTCGACCAGCAGCACCACCACAAGCAGCACCGACTCCACCCGACCAGCAGCAACCACCCACCATCGACCAGCACCGACAAGCAGCACTACCTCAAGCAGCAACGACTCCACCCGACCAGCATTTCCCAGCGCCACCCGCGAACGACCAGCACCGATCAGCAGCACATCCGCAAGCAGCGACGACCCCACCCGACCAGCACACTCCACCGAACGACGCCGACCACCAACCAGCAACACCACCTACCAGCAGCAGCGACCCCACCTACCAGCCGCACCGACCCCACCGACCAACTGAAGGAGCTCTTACGGCTTTCCCTTCCCTCCCCTACTCTTCCCCCCTCCCCCCCTCTCCCTCCTGGCCCTTTCCCTCCAGAGTCATGAAGGTCGTTCACAAAAACGCCCGGTCACTCACGACGGACGACCGAATTCAAGAGCTGATCACTGAGCTTGACAGTATACACTGGGATTTCGTACTCATCAACGGGACGTGGAGAACAACGGCGACGGAGCTATGGACAACCACGGAGGGACACTTTCGCAGGATCTGGCAACGACCAAGCATGCCATGGGGATGCGATTTTGGTACACAAGCGTTGGGGGAAACAGATACAGAAATTTCTGGCACTTTCGCCGAGACTCGTCACAATCTCATTGCAGAGGGGACGGCTGAAACTACAATTGGTGTCGGCATATTTCCAGCACTCTGGTTACAGCGACGTGCACGTTCAGCGCATGTATGACGCCATCCACGAGATCCAGAGAGAGAGAGAGAGAGCATCAAAGCGCGGCGTCACTTCATTCTCGCCGGCGACCTCAACGCGCAGGTTGGGGCATCCATATCCGAGGACGGCGACAAAGACGACAACGACGACGACGACGACCGCACCACTTCAAGATGCGTTGGTCGCCACGGTTATGGGAACGAAAACTCAAGAGGCATCTGCTTACGACATTGGGCCGCCCAGGAAGGTCTTGTAATCGCGAACACCTTCTTTCGCAAGCCAACGCGCAAGCAGATAACGTACACCAGCGGCAACAATGAGCAGCAACTCGATTACATATTGCTTAACCGCAAGCTCTTCCGACACTGCACGAACGCTGAGGCCGATAACATGTCCGACCTGGGATCCAAGCACAAGGCCGTTCTCATCGACTTGAAGGTGCCAGAGTCCATGGTGACGAAACAGCCACGGCACGACGACACATGACGACAGCACCCACATCCAGCACCGAGACCGACAGGACACATCACCGACACAAGCGCCTACCGCGAGCACCAGCGTCCACGACTGCACCCAAAGGAGTGACCAAGCGACCCACAAGCATTGAACGACCACATCCAAGATTGTTATCATCGAAGCCGCCGTCGCTGCCAGCACAGCTGGGGGGCTGCGACGAGACCTCCCGCCCGACAGAGGAGAGGAAGGACTGCACCCTCTACTGGGCAGCGCCACCAGACACCAAGCAACGAGCACCAAATTCGAAAGCACCTGAGCAAACTTATACAGCAGAAGATCCGAGCGCAGAAGCGAAGGACACGACGATCTCATATAAGCTACGTGCTTGACAAGTTCCGTAACTTGAAGAGCATCACGCGCATCAAAACACGCAGAAGGCGGACGCTCACCACGCACATGACAGACAAAGACGGCGCCACACGCACGACAAGACAAGACAGTGCTGACGTTTTCGCAGAATTCTACGAGCACCTTTACGATTCAACGGCGGAGCCGGCGCAGCAGGAAAGACCTGACAACGACCTCCCGCAGAACGGAATTGGACAAAGCAATCAGAGGGCTTCGCCTTGGCAAAGCCCCAGACACGAAAGGCCTCCGAGCAGAGATGCTGAAAGACGGCGCGGAAGAGCTCAAAGAGGCATTGCTCCACCTCTACAACACGATCCTGCAATCCAGCGCCCCACCACCGGCCAGCTGGAAGAGCACAGTCGTCACGGTAATTCCAACAAGTGGGGATTTTTGCACCTCCTCAGAACTACCGCCCTATATGCACGATACCGCTGCTTTACAAGCTGTTCAGCAGGCTACTTTACGCCCGACTCCAACCAACACTCGACTCTCGACAGACAGCTGACCAAGCAGGCTTCAGACCAGGACATTCGACCACCGACCACCTCCTAACATTCCACGTTCTTCGAGAGCGTGCGCACGGATGGAACCATAATTTGTGGGTAGCAGCGCTCGACTTTTGAAAGGCTTTCGACACCGTCTCACACGATAGCATCTGGGCAGCACTGAAGGCGCAAGGTGTCCAGCCAGTATACATCTATCTACTCCAGCAGCTGTACGAGGGACAGAAAGTCACGGTCAAGACGGACGTGAGCAGCCGGCCTTTCAACCTTTCACGGGGCACCAAAGAAGGGGGCCCGCTCAGTTCCGTCCTTGTCAACGCTCTTCTGCAGCACATTCTCGAACCGCTGATCACCGAATGGCCAAAAAGGCGAGGGCGTTCAGCTGGGGCTTACCACCACCACCACGCTCACCAACCTTCGCTTCGCCGACGACATGCTCCTGACCAGCCAGACTCTTCCGCGCCTCGCGACGATACTGGAAGACATAGTGCGCGCAGCGAAGCCGCACGGACTCGAGCTGCACCCGTCCAAAGCCAAGATCATGAGCAACCAGACGAGACGGACCGGCAGGGCGAGCTCGCGCACGGCGCGCGTAGAGGGCATGGGCATCGACATCTTGCCGCACGAGGGCAGTATTAAACATCTCGGTCAATTCATCAGCTTCCACGACGCGATGGAGACAGAGATTCACCACCGAACGAAGGCCGCATGGGCATCATTCACCACACACAGACAGGAGCTGACCAGTAAGCACTACCCGCTGGCGCACAGGCTTCGACTCTTCAATAGCACAGTAACGCCCACGGCTCTCTACGGAGCTGAGACCTGGACGCTCACGGAACCTCTCCGGCAACACCTGCGACGAACGCAACGACGCATGCTCCGCATGATCATCAGAACGACGCTGCGACGAATCACTCACAACACAACCCTCCACAACGACCACGGCGGCACAGACGACGGCACGACCAAAGAAGCACCTGACGACGCTCCTAACCGAACCGACAGCAGCGACGACGCAGACAGCCACACAGCGCAGCAGGAAGCGACAGACCAGCACAGCGAGAGCAACGACGACGACGAGGACATGCTGGAACCCTGGGTTGAGTACATTCAGCGATCAGCACGGCGTGCTGAACAGCTCATGCAGCACTACCAAGTCACAAAGTGGGAAAGGATTCGCTGACAGAGATCGTGGCGCATGGCGTCAAGGGTCGCTAACCATGACCCCACAAGATGGACGTGGCGCAAACTCCATTGGCAACCGACAGAGAATCCACGCCAACGCGGACAGCGACAGCACGGCAGACAGCGCAAGCGATGGGAAGACAACATCGTCAAGCTCCTCCAACAAAGCAGCCTCGACCAACATCCAACGGCCACGCCGACTACAACAGGCCAGCCAATAGACATTACTTGGATCCGCACGGCTCAAGACATTTCCACTTGGTCGACATTCGAACGGCAATACATGCGCACCACGTAACGACAGAACGCCGACTTCCACATCGTGGATTTCCTCCCCCCTCTCCTCCCCCATTCTGTCATATTTGTTTGATTGTCTCGCTGCTCATGTGCATGATTGCGTGTAGCTCATCGATTAGGTTTCTGAAGGCCACGGCCTCCCCTATCAGGTCCTAGGTCAGCCCGGACATTTGTCCGCAATGGTGGCTCGCTCGTTCTTCTGTTCCCTAAGAGACTAGCCGAGGCGGGAAGGAAGGCGGGGTGAGGGCGACGGGCATGATGGGGAAACACAACGGGCCGGAGACTGGCCCAGACCTCGAGGTCTTGATGTAGTGCGTCACAGGTACACTTGCGGACTTCAGGCCTTCAGTCGGCGTGGCCGGCCTCTCCTGCAGTGTGGGGCCACGCTCCACGACGGGTCTAGGGTTCGGATCCGAGAAGGATGAGGAGGATGAGGAGGAGGAGGAGGAGGAGGAGGACGAGGACGAAGACGAGGACGAGGACGAGGATGAGGACGAGGACGTGGACGAGGAAGAGGAAGAGGAGGAGGACGAGGACGAGGACGAGGACGAGGAAGAGGAAGAGGAAGAGGACGAGGACGAGGACGAGGACGAGGACGAGGACGAAGAGGAGGAGGAGGAGGAGGAGGAGGAGGAGGCGG